CTTTCTTCAAGTTTTGCATTTTAGCTGGTGCAGTTTTGCAGTTGTGGTACTTTTGTTTCTACCATTTAGGTGCAAAGTCCTTGGAGTGGCTCAAAATGCTGAAACTACAAAGTATGCTCCATGTATGACTTTGAATGGCATTCAGGGATATAAAATCTCATATGAATTTGCAAATGGCTTGATTTACAACACATAAGCAACAACAGCACAGCCTGGTTTATATGATGTCCTGAAACTAACTAGAATATGACAGTGAGGGTTTGAACATAAACTCAGCCTGCTGAGTGTTTTGTACTTGTAAACTAAGAAATGCGATGCATAAAAATGGGGAACCCACTTTTTTGCGAGCATATGACTATATGGAATTACACTACAAAAAAAACAAAACAAAAAACCAACCAACAAACAAAACCCAAACCAAAACCAAATAACCCCACTATACTAGATACTAAAATAAACTTTAAAATTGTAGAGCAGTTCCATCTGGAAACACTGTCAGTCTATAGTTCATTTGAACGGAAAAAATGAGCAAGTCGTGGTATACAGGAAAATGCAGTGGCTGAGAAGGATGGGTGTTTGTAATTTTCATGTTTAAAATGAATGATTTTGCAGTGTATGCATGCACCTTCCATATAGCTTTTCACGTGTGTTCATAAAATCATATGCATATAAAAGAAATGTGGATTGTGTAAATTCACAGTTATCACAGCCTTTAAAGTGTCTAAGAATTTGTGTAACCAAATGCTTTAAGATAACCAATGGTAAATGGTCATCCCATGTTACTACTGAATAGTTACTGCATCTTAACTAGTTTGCTTACCTGAAATAGCAGAACAGTTATAATACTGATTACATATGATATTATGTTAATAAAATAAGGATTTATACAAAACAATATTTGACTATAACAGCTAAATGCTATGTTACTTGGCACATTTTAGTTATGATTGTTTTTAGTATGTCTAGAGAACTTTTAAATTAAAATACTGAAATGTCTGAAATTTATTCCTAGCATTAATGTTTTTGGTCTACTCTTTCATATGCTATTCATCTATTGTTACTATCCTTCTATCAAGTAAGTGTAATTCCTTGTAAAGTCTATATTGCTAGTTCTGTGGTCTGAAAAATTTGCTTTCCAAGCACAAATGTTAACTATACAGTATATATATATATTTATATATTTATATTATATAAAGTTTACTTACGTACTTTCATCAACCATATGAGGTCTACTTATTTTTTGCCTATTGACAATAAAAGAGCAAGAATGCAACACTTGGTTCTGAATCACTTTTTTTTTAATAGGTTAAGTTTTTATTATGCATGTAAAATCGTCATGGGATTTGGTGAAAAAGGAAGCTTAACTTGTGTTCAGCAAGCAGCATATTTTCAAGGCAATTGAAGATAGGACTGGCCCAGAAGGCAGAGCTCCACTGAGCAGATAAGTAAAATCAATATTGATCACACTCATTCGAATGGTTGTATTTAGTAACAGCAGGCCCTTAAGCTTGCAGAAGTCAAATAAATTGTTTGGCTGGGTAAAAATCCACAGTTTTATTTGCTGCTTCCTTTAAGTGCCTTTATAACCATGCCTAAAACTACAGTTATTAGAAGGACAAATACTTCTAGACTATTGTGCTGATGCCACTGTGTTTGGGCTTAGTGCTGGTTGAAGTGGAAGGAGGAACTGACTGTCCATGGTGATGCTGAGCATGCTGGGAGTGAGAAGAGTGCCCGGGGTGAGGAGGGGGCAATGGAGGGTGGGGATGAGGATGCTGCATGTAAGAAGAATGCACTGCGTGCTGGGAATGTGGCACATGGGGGTGGTACTGGTGCGTGTGCTGGATGTGCTGTGGAGGATGATAGTGGTGATGGTGATGATATGGGGGTGGGTTCTGCTGCATGTGGCAGTACTGTGAATGGTGAGTGTGCACTTGGGCCTGTGTCTGCCCCTCAGCTGGTCCAGCATGGTGCATGGCAGAAGGATGCTGGGAGTGTTGCTGATGTGGGATTACAGGTGGGTGCTGAGGCTGCTGAGATGGGCCCGATGGTGGATGGCCTTGGGAAGGTGGCTTCCCCCTCTTACTACCAAATAAGGAACCTAGGAGTGAGGAAGAGTTAGGCATAGTCTGGTGAGGGCGAGATGGACACTCTCGGGTTGATGTAGCTCTTCGGCGCATGTGAGGACTGCTAATGATGGACCCCTAAAAGAAATTAATAGAAATGAAAATTAAAAAAAAATCTTAATATGTTTAAAAGAAAAAGTTCACACGGATCTATCAAATCTTTCTTAAATGGTCCCATGGGCTGACTATATTAAGCGTTATAGGAGAATTTCTCTCTCTGACAGCTGCTCTCTTCAAGCTACAGGTGAGGCATTTCATGTCCTTGGAATGCTTATAAACATTAATTACTATTACATGGTTTCTCTTTCAATGCTTTATTGTAAATTTGATACATTAAGACAAATGTCAATGAAAGATGACATTATACTTGGGAATTTGTTTTAAAAGGAAAAAATACATTTTAAAATACCAGTCACATTTTTCTTTAAAAAACCCCCAAACAAACCCTATATTAAACTGAAATGAACACAGTTTAAAATAAATAGTTTATTCTTATTGTACACCACAGTAAGGGAGGTCTGTGCTGTTTCATAAACCTAACCCTATATTATATGTTCGATTGCAACAATGCTTTTACAACTCATTTCAATAAGATTTCTATGTGGTGGTTTTCTTCTGACCTATGACCGAACATTCCCTACTATTTAGCCTTGAATGATCTATTTAGTCTTTGGAGATTTTTGTTGTTTTTTTATTAAAGACAATTAGGGGACAAAACAGTACTTAAGACATAGTGTGCTAGTTTTAAACTGCAATCTACCTAACGCAAACACACACACACACACAAAATCTGCAAGCTGAATTCAACAACGTGAACAGTATATATATATAAATGGTTTGAAGATGAATGAAATCTCATGAAATCCACATTGAATTCAACTGTCTTATTCATTTTCTGCTCCCATGCCCTATCTGTGCAATTCCATGGTGTCATGACTGCATACATTTAGCAATTTAACTAGAAAATAAGCAATGGGAATGGCTAAGCGTGAAAGTCAATAGTTGTAGCTAAATATCAAACAGCATAGAACAGTGTACTGTGTAACGAAGAGCAAGTGGGCCTTCAAGCTGGGATCCGACTGAAATGGTGGCAAAAGGACACATCATGTTCATTAACCATGCTTGCAGGAACAGAGGGAACAAGGTTAGCTGAAACCAAAAATGGTGCTTGGTCTAAAACAAGCCATAAGTGTTTTTTTAAGCTGGAATAATACAAAGTGAGTAGCCTACGCATGCATTTTATCTGAGGCAGGCAGGTTATATGTTAGAAGAAAAAGAGCAAAAAAATATGTATATAAAAGAAAGGTTTGAAATGCACATCATCACATCCAGCTAGACATCAGTAACTTCCTACTTACTTCCATATTGCTGTCTAGCGATCCTGCACTGCTGCGACGCCCACGCTTGCCTGCCCAGGACATGCAATACCATAGATTAGAGACTGAGACAAGACCTGGGTGAGAAATATCTGCTTCCCGAATTACTACAGGAGCCTCTAAATGCAACTACAGGGATTTCGGGGGACTAATTTAATATGGCACATTAGACTGGTACAATAGCTATTAAAGCAGAAACTTCAAGTTTAAGGCCAATAATTAAATTAAGTTTCTGTACCTAAATGTGTCCTGGAAGGGAAGATTTTTGTTTTGAAGCAAGTTGTTGTTACTTTAAAAAAAAATCTTAAAATATGTACATTTTAGACTCTAGATTTAGGAGTGCGGTCATTATGTTCACTGTTGACTAGCGTTTTAAATTGCTTAATTTCCTAGAAGCAAATTTTCAAAAATGTCCATAAATTTGTTCTCCTAAAACGGTGTTGTGGGTGGCACATTTTTGTGTTAATTACAGGGAACATTTTGGTTTTCAGTGGGGAGGGGAATGGGAAGGGACATCTACCTCCTCATCCTTTGAATGTTTTCTTTTGAACTTCAGTGGATTTCATATAATCTTCTTTCATGCCGATTAAAAAGAAAACTAAACTTAATTTTTAATAAAAAATGTAAATGTAGCATTGTATTATGGCTAGATTTTGTTTGTCTAGCTGTGCAGTGCTTTACATTTAGGTATTAAAACTGACATAGCATAGTCTGAGTTTTATTAGTTATATCCGATTTTCCTAAGATGCATGCCCAAACTTTGTGTGTGGAACCCTCGGTTAGCTACCAAATATTGGTTTTAGGAACCTAAGTGCCGAAATCCGGAATCCAGAATGCCAAAATATAAGATTATGTACCCAGATTTCATAACTGAGCTGTCCAGTTAATTCAGTGGAGATAATGGCTGAGTCAGCCCAGAATAGTTATTTTTATTGAATGTAGCTTGTTCTATATTAAACTAACAAAATGTAAGAAAGTAAGGGGGATGATCAAGCAAAGCTAAGATCATCAGTGTCTTTGTGAGGTGTACTCATCTTCCCCAAGCATCTTCAAAAGCCACATGTGTTCCTTATTTCTCTCTCTCTCCTCATGCCCCACCTTTTCTTAAAGCCCAGCATCACAGCAAATCTGCCTCTTGTCTTGGAAGGCTTGATACAGTTCTCTTCAGGGCCTGCCCTTGCTGTTGAAGAGGGATAGGAGATATTCCTTTCCCTCTTGCTATGACTAAGGGTCTTCCTTTTGCAACAACTCACAGTTCTCAGCATAAACCCCTTAAACTGAGATTGTGTGTTTGCAGATGAGCAATTCCTTTGGAAGAACTCTTTGCAGGAACCTTTGTGGAACATTCCTTACTGCAGTTTTAGCTTGTTCAAAAACACGACTATTGTGCATCATGAGAGAGAAGTAGTTTTGATTATCTTAGAATTCTTATTGTCTAGGCAGAGGGTGAATTTTGTTCTTTGTTTATTGGTAGTAATGGTGCTAGTTGTGACATCTCCCCATTCAAAGATAGATATTATACTGGCATAGGTGACTAAAATGACTAGGCATGAAGGAACATAGGAAAACCTAAAGTTTCCCACTAGAGGGAAGATAAAGCAAGAGTGAAAATGCTCAGATGCCACAGTGATGAATGCAGTGTATGTGGACAGATGGGTGAGCATCTATCTATGCTCCTAAGATGACTGTGGGTGAAGGCATATCAGCAGAAAAAAAATGAAATCGTATCTGTGACACCTATAATAATCCTCAGATGATCACTAATTAGTACTGTACAATAAAGGGCGCTCTGGTAAATTTTTCCAAGACCAGAGACTTAGTTTAATAAAACAATGTGAAACAGGTTCACTAAGGGTTGTATGCAATCAGAAATGGAAATGATTTATTAGATCTTACAAAGTATTCCCCTTGCCAATGTTGGATCATTTTATTACATACTATTTTTCAGTGCTACACCCATTTCATCTTAGAATTTTTTTTTAGCATCATTCTTCAAAATGCATTGCAAGGAAATGGTAACTCCAGGATAGAAGAAGCTTATTCAGCTGTTACATACAGCATAACACTACGCTAGAATGATTATTAGCTGAGATGCTATAAAACCCGGTTGTGTTTAACAAATTTACAACTAACTGTTCCCAGCAAATAGTTTTAAAATATTTTAAAGGTCACTATACAACACCGTTTCTCATTCCTCTCTTTGTAAAGTTTAATTCCAGCTTTTTTCCCTCTCCTTGGAAAGTTAAATTCTCATTCCCTTGGCCAATTCACTGCTGCCATGGTTGGTAATGGACTGTGGTAGGTGGTATGCTGCTTCTGAGTAAGCATCTGTAATATGCACTAATGCAACACATCTCCACATGTACAAACAAGGACACTTTAAACTCAATACACGTGAGGCATTTAGAATATCCTCGCAGAAACGTATGAATTCTGTGAGCGCTTGCGTCCTTGCAGAAATTGTCCTTATAAATATGAAAAATGTTACAGGAAACGTCATTACTGTATTCTACTTCTTGGGCCTACCCACTCTATGCCAATGAGAGGCATACTGAGATCAAGGGCATTTCTTGTGATTAGTCTGTGATTCTTGGATAACAGTCTGAAAAAGGATTCAAAGTATGTTCTTAGTAAAGCAAATTATTTTAACAGCCATCTAACAAATAATGAGTCGCTGTACTAGCTTCAGCATGTTGTGAAGGTGGTATTCATGGGAGTTGAAACTGTTGTCAGCTAGTTATCCAGAGGCCAGGCCTGGCACAAGCTGAGGTAGTTCAAAATGACCAATACTACCTCACCAATCTGCCTCAATTGTAATATGGAAGGACCACTTCTAGGGGGCTTTTAATCCTGACTTTTGGATGAGGCACATAATTATGATCTTGACACATGTGATCATTAAAAAAAAAAAACTTCTGGCTGTCTTCACATGAGGAGCATTATCCTTGGCACACTGGTCAAATTCAGTGCAGGTAATTACATCTTGCCTACATAAATTCCTCTTGCTTTGGGGGAAGTGAATGATTATAAACCAGTGGAGTAATGTTGGTTGTGGCTATAACAGGGGTGACTGTGTGGGTGATCCTTGCGTATTATATATATGCATGCTTTGGACACATGAACACAAGGTACTGGATTCTAAGAATCCACTTAGTTAAAAATGGGGTATATGGTTAGAATCAGTAGAAGTAGGCAGTGATATACACATCCAGAGTCATGTACCATGCCAGGCATCATTGACATCCAATGGGGACAGAAGGAAGGTGACAATGATTGTAAGGAAAGATGAAAATTGTGGCATTCCAGTCCCACATCTCCTCTGCACTACTTCATTTACTGCCCTGGAGATCTCATATGCGAAGGCAGAAGAGCTTTGATGTCTCATACCCCAAATAGCATTCTTTTTGCCCACTTCCACCTCAACTCAAGGGAGAAGTCTGAGTAAAGAGAAACTTTTAGTTTCTCCTTGCAGCAAATAGATGAGGGAGGAGCTAAGAACCTTAACCAATCCCTTGAAGACTCCTCCTGCTGGTGGGAGAGGGTTCTGCAACCATATGAAATCTGCTTCTATGTATAGAACATAGGTGGAGGGAAAATCCCTGCAGTCTTTCCCCAGAGGGTAAACTCTGAGCAAGAAGAAAAGTGGAAAATATTACAAAGGGTTCATAAAAACCATGATATATTGGTTTCAAGGGCCAAAATGATGTAAACAAAAACAATCAACAATGTTTGGGGCAATAGATGAGAAGCCGAGGGAGTATTTTCACACTTGGGTTATATTTACAAGTTTCTGGCCCTTAATGCCAGTCAACACTCATATTACTGCAGGATAAGTCTTGGGGATATTTGCTGAGACTACCAGGAACAGGGTCCACTTGTAGATGTAGTAAAAATAGCCTTGCATGTCTGTACCACATACCAACAGGAATGCATGAAGCTTCACCACACATCTGGAAGGAAGGGAAATCTTTTGTCCCCATTTTACACATTGCTATGGTGAAGCACAAGGAGGCTAACAGCCTGATTTCCAGAGGTGCTGAGCACTCCCAGCTCCATAGGAAGTCACTGAGAATTACAGGTGCTCAGCACTTCTGAAAATCAAGTTGTGACTTGCTAGAAGTCACCCAGAAAATCTGTGGGAGAGAGTCAGAAACCCACATATCCTCCCAGTCCTATATTTTAACACCCCCCCCAGTACTACTTGTGATTGGATAATTTTCATCTATCACACTTATGCGTAGGCCCATTTCAATATCATAAATGGAAGAAAGCTTTGGAACAGTCCAAAATGCTCTCAGGGTTTGGCATAATCAATTCCTATTCTAATTGCATCTTGTTTTTTGTTTTCTTCTAATGCTTTACACAAGAATTTGGAATTCTACATTCTAGGGTAAATAAGTATTTTTTTCTTGACTATATTTCAGTGAACAGAGATAATCATTGGTCAGTTCAGCCATTAGCAACAAAAATGCTCATAATTTTCATATTTGAAAAAAGATGAAGCATTAAATGCTTTTGACTCGTTCACGTTTTGTAACAGTTCCAGTTCTCATTTCTACTTTTTATTACATGGCAGCAGATGTCAGAACAGAGAGAACAAAATAAGGATTATTATATATTAACCGTAAACCCCAAAAAACCCTCATTCACTTAATTTTTGCAAATACAACTTATGTTTTCATGCAAAAATGAATGGAAAAGCAGCCAGCAGCAAAGGATACCTACTTAATATCAGATATTATTTATTTGCCTGTTGGGGAATTGAAGCATTGCTCTCCAAAAACCAATTTCAGGCTTTTAGGAGGTGAAAGGGCCCAGAAATCTTTTCTTTCTTTAGATGTGAGAGACCAATTAATTTTTTCCTTTTAAAGCATGGAAAACATTTCAAAGGCACTTTCCCCTACTAGTATTCTTCTGTGATAGGTATAATGATTTCTGGAAAGGGGAAATTAGCTAATGTTTTCCAAATTGCAGTTTCATCAGAAACCTGCACAGTCAAAACTTTCTTTATGGAATCAGATTTCCCTTTCATAGAATCGCATTTTCAGAGTGCTATCAAAAACAACTCTGCAGCACTGCTTAGAAAATTATGCGCCAAACTCTGTGCATATACATTTATTAAATTTGCACAAGTGAAATTGGATTTTTTGCAGAAACAATAAAGGAAACTCTTTACAAATCTAGCCCACTATCTCTATTGTCTAAACAAATACACCTACACCTCCTTCTTTATCATCCTATATTTCATGCCATGGCAGTACAAACATCAAGAATTAGTATGAACCAATTTCAGTCCTCCTTTCTCTGAAGTTATTTGAATGTATGCTGCTTTGGCACAGTCACCGGGGCCACAGTGTCTCTGCTGATTGGTAAATTTTCTTTGCTTCTTCTAGGTATCTTATGTTTCATACTTACACCGAGTGAATCCTCACCAAGTAAACAAAACTTCAAGGAGATATTTGTAAATTCACTATAGTGATTTTGATGTATCACAGAAATAGTAGTATATATTACGGGACTGAAAATGGTATTTTATTAACTTAAATCGGGTGATGGATGTGTAATTTTTCAAGTTAATTGCACTGCACAAGACCAAACAGAAGCTTTCCATAACTGTCAGTGGATAAATATTAAAATTAAGTTTAGTTGGGTTTAACAAATTCATCAATAAACCCTTCAGTCTGTAAATGATTTCTACTTTCTATCATGGAAAAAGACCACTTTCAGTACAGCGCATGCCAACGACGGGCATGTGGTTTGGAAGTATGGAATGTTTTCATGATCAAGAGCAATTCAGCTTGTTTATTGTACATAACCCTCTAAAGGGATCTATGTACATGGCAATATTTGGAAGACTATGATGGAAAATTCCTATGGGATGAAAAGCGTTAATCAGGAAACACACCAATTGGTTTGTACAGCTGTGCAACTCCCACAGGCTGTCCTCATTCTAAATGAACTTAAAATAAAACAAAAACAAAAGATGATGAAGGTATCTGTAGAGCTTAGATTTAATAACTATGAGGACTTGGGCTTGATCCAACCTACACTGAAGTCAGTAGAAAGATTCTCACTAACTTCAAGTGGACTTTGGATAGGGGGCTGTGTTTTTAATGAGGCAGATGGGTATAGATGGATATAAACAGAGTAAACACAAGTGATAAAATAGAGGTGTGTGTGTATGTGTATGTATACATACATAAATACACACACACAAAAACACACACACACACTACATATTCAATTTACCAGCATTTTATTTTCTGCAGCACAGCTAAATCCTCCTCTTTGATAATACATGAAAAGGCTAACTGGGGGTAACTATTCAAGATATACACAGTATTACAAATTATGTCTCCACTGTAAATTATACAGCATTTAAAGATCAAAACCAATAATACAGGCAGATATAACTTTATTTTTTTAAATCCCAATGCTGCTGTTCTGATGGCTACTGTCAGTGTGGCGTGGCTGGTGTTACAACTTCCATTAGCAATAATAGGAGCAATGTACCTAACATTTTGAACACAGAGCTGAACATTTCTCCTGGAAGTCTGGAAGCCATGACGGTGTTAATTACTAATAATTAATGGTATGTGGCAAACAAAGAAAAATAAAACAAAACCCAGGCACATACCACTTTTTCCATTTTTAAAATGCATGTACAGATATTTAGAACCCCAAGAAGATCAATCAGTTCCAAATTTAGCCACAGCAGCAACTCTGAGTCTTGGGGACATTACTACTGTGCCCAGCAGGGCTTTTTCCTATTACTCTGGCAATAGTAGTTTGCAAACAACAGCTTCAACAAGAATTAGGGTCTATGTTGTGCATAATACAATGATGAGATAGTACCAGTCACACAGTATAACTGAAGTGTATCACCCTAGATAGAATTTGGTAGGGCTTCACTCAATTTCATTCATCAATGTAGTACATGGGTACACTTAAGCACAAAATACACAGGAAGCAGTCATTGCACAGGGACCTCAGTGTTTTCTTTTCCTTTCTAAGTCTACATTAACAAGGAGGGGAAAAAAAAGAGATAAAAGAAAGGAATTCTAAGTGGGTTGCTCCTAGTACTAGTCAACCATTTTCCTACAATACACTTACAATTTTTCCTCTGTCTTCAGTCTCCTTTAAAAGTATATATAGCAAGCTATAACAGTTTGATATTTTCAAATAGCGTTTGGTCAGTTTGCAAAGATAAAATAAAAATAAATAAAAACAAACCCAACAATAAAACTAAGAATGTAAAAAAAAGAGCAAATAGTTAAACTTTCTGTATTGCTCCTTTCCATGGTCACCGTTCACAATTGAGCTACACACCTCACATGTACCGGTGTTCTTTGCATGTATCGGTGTTCATGTCAGGGAAATAATGTGGTACTTACCAGCTTCAGAGAGATCTCTAAGGGAACTGCTGAGGGCACTCCTTTTCAGTCCCTCACCGGTGGCATAGCTGTCATCCAGGCAGGCTCTGTTCAGCGTCCCATTGCCAGACTCTTTTTTGAGGCTGGAGCACTGGGAGATGCTTGGACGTACCACACCTTTCTGTTTTTCTAGCTCAGCTGAAACAAACAATGATTGTACATGTCATAGTTACTGACTGTATCGAAATGGAGCCAATGACAGGACAAAGCAAATATTGTTGCGGTGTATTTAGAGATGTCAGTTTATTTTGAAGTTGAACTGTGAGTGGAAGAAGACTTGATCCCTGTCTCAATGGCTTGATAACATAACACACACAATGAAAGGATGTCACATTCTGGACAAATATAAAGAATCCTGCGTGTAGTTATTTGCAGCTTCCAGCTTGTTAACTGCACAAAGGCTAATGAAGTAGCAGCAAACACGATGCTATTCAGAAGAACGAAGTTTGATATCAAGAGAAAAAGCGAGTTCCTCCAAAATCCGATTCCATAAGACAAAATCTCTTTTTAGGTTAAAATAGCACTAAAACTTACTTAAAATAGCACTAAAACTTACACTACAATTTATTTATCCTTTTGCATACCCCACTGAAGTTACTCATCAGTTGGTTTTTGCTGGTGCTTAAGATACATTTGTGTTGCAGTTACACAGTATGCTAGCTATCACTCAAAGATCCTGGCAGGAATTTTAGGCATCAATGTTTTATTTCTAAAATAATCTGAAAGCCACAGATGGAGAACTACATTATTTTAAGTGTTAAATTCTGCTGGATTATACAATGTATGTCTTGAACAGGTTTACTAATGTCAATTAGTTTGAAAATGCTCTATTATATGTACCTTTGTACTTACACTCTATTCTGTGCTTTTCCATTTCTTGGACTTCTGCAATAGACTCTCTTAAATCATCTGTAAATTTCTTTCTATCCTGAGGATTGGGTGCATTGAAATTTATTAGGACTTTGATATCTGCTCCTGGAACAGCTGATGTGAGCCGTATGCCATTTGGATAATCTGTAGGTGAGGAAAGAGAGGAGGAGAAATAATAAAGCAAAATTATTTTTATTATCTTCAATTTTATTCTTTCATTTTTACTTAATTTTTTCACTAATTCTTTGTTAACATTTCCAACTCTAGACAGACATCAGAGAAAAGCAGATTTTATTATTATCTTCAAAAACTCAGAAGTACGTATGTGAAAAGTTAAACAGTTAACCCTTAATAGGTGATGTTTACCAGGGTTGTAATAGTGTAGTTGATTAACCGATTAATCAACAAGCAAAAGCTTATAGGTCAATGCTATAGACTACACACATTTCCCCCCACCTCCCTTGCCAGTAAATTTTTAGCAGGCTGGCCAGCAGCCCGGCTCAGTCCTGGCTCATGCTGGGTCCGGGACCTACCCCTGATGCAGCTCTGCATTTAAAATGTATTAGGAGCCAGGCAGGCAGGCAGCCCTGCTCAGTTCTGGCTCTTGCTGGGTATGGGAGCTCAGACACCCCCTGTAGACAGGGCTTCTGCCACCCCGCACAGCTGAGGACCAGCTCCCACCTGGCACCCCGTGCTGCTGCCTCTGTTAGAGTAGCTGCCGGCCCCGCCCTCAGGGACTGTAGAATAGTTGATTAACCGATAAGAATTCATGAGGTTTCTCTACTATTCACTTAACTGATATTTAACATCCCTAATGCTCACCGGCGGAGGATGTCACCAGAGGCATGTAGATTAGGCTACCAGATGTAGGAAAATGAAGCGGCGATTTAAATAATCGCCGCCGGGGGGGGGGGACCCTCCAGCCCCAGTGGGCTAGAGCAGTTCCCCTGCCTGCTCTCCTTTAATCGATTAACTGGCTGAACATTATATTTAACTGGTTAACCAATTCATTGTGATTTTACATCCCTACTCAGAAGGCCATTTTATCTGCTTAGGACCCAGATGCGTTTTCCAAATGAAGATAAAACACACAGAACAGACACATGTACAATTCTCTCTTTCACTCTCTGCCCACCTTCCCCTGCCCCCCCTCTGTTTGGGTACGTCTAGACTACATGCCTCTGTCACCAGAGGCATGTAGATTAGGCTACCAGACGTAGGAAAATGAAATTTACATTTAAATTTACATGGCTGCCGCCCTGAGCCGACAAACAGCTGATCAGCTGTTTGTCGGCTCAGCGCGATAATCTGGACGCGCGGGTGTCGACATCAAAGGTATTTGTCGACCACC